AAACCGTCTATTCCACCATCTTGACAGGAACCCTTATACTTTTTTTAACATGGTTTCCTTTAGTTCTTTGGATGTATTTGTAATGACTTCCATGAAGTCTTTGCTAAACCTAACACCGAGAAGCACTCACAGATGGTTTCTGTGATGTTTTTTTCTTGAGCATCAGTCACTCTTTCCTGTTCCATTGCATGTCTTTTAATTTTTTTGTTGAAAATTAGGAATTTTAGGAAATATGTTGTATCAACTGTGGATTCTGATCTTCCCCTGGAGGTTACTGTTGCTGTCTTATTTTTGTTTGGTCTCCATGTATTGGATGACAACTGATGTCCCTTCTGAGTTTTTTTTTTTAATTATTATTATTTTTAAGCCTGGCTTCCTGGGGTGACCCCTGTTTCTGTGCAGCTTAGTGGTTGGCCAGCAATTGGACAGATTATTTTTAAACCTGGCTTCCTGGGGTGACCCCTGTTTCTGTGCAGCTTAGTGGTTGGCCAGCAATTGGACAGGGGTTGTGTTCAACACCTTGAGCCAGTAGGGCTGCCGTCCCCTTGCAGTGGGTCAGCGTGTAGCAGGTGAGTGTAAAGTTCGGGCTGTCTTAGTCTTTCCTGGCTGCTACTTTCCACTGGGCCCTTTCCTGTCTCCTCCATACATGTGCACAGCCTCAGCCAGGAACATGCTTGTCCCCAGCCAAGGCCAGTGGAGCCCTCGGCCCTCATGCTTCCCTGTCTCCGAGGTCACCACCCCTGGCAGCACCACTGGGCCACCACCAAGTGAGGGGAGCCCACAGGCACTCTTGTTCAGCTGTTTTTCAAGCATAAACACTTCTTAGATTGTGTGTGTCTTTGGTTGATTTCCCGAACGATGAAAGGTTATTTTTGTTGTTTTTTTCTGGCTATATAGTTGCTTCTGGGGGAGCTGTCCCCACTCAGCTCTTGCCATCTTGCCTGGATTCTGTTCTAACCTGGAGCCTTTCAGTTGCCCCTAATAGAAGTCCAGTGGAAACCAGCTCCTGTAACCTCAGGCTGGCTCTCAGCACCCAGGGACTCACACCACAGGTCTCACTGTGGTGACCTCTGCTCTGCAAAGTTGCACCTTCTACCCTTGAAACTCTGCTCAGGCATCACTCCTCAAGACCTGCTATGGTCTCCCCAGGCTGGGTGAAGTGTCCATGGCTTCCGCCCTAACCTTCATCACTGCACAGCTACCTCGAGTTAATTATCTGTTTGTTTCAGGGCTTCTCCACTAACCTGTGGCTTTTCCTGAGGACTGGCCAGGACTCTGCCATGCTCACCTTTCATCCTCAATTTTCAGCCCAGAATCTGGCACATACTAGGCCTCCAAGTTCCTTAAATGAATGAATCAGTCATCTGGCAAGTCGAGCTGGGCAGTCAGCAGGTGATAGGAAGGTTAATGAGAACAGCCAGCCAGGGGCAGGGTGAGGCCTCGCGTGAACAGCTGCTGCTGCCCCACCTCCTTCAGGGCCTGACTAGCCTGCCCTGCTTTCCGTGTCCTGGCACTTAGAACCAGGGGAAGTCCCCTGTAGCTCTCTGGTATGTGATGCACAGAAAGGTGCACAGGACAGCGGGGCTTGGTATGGAGCCCATGCAAGATTCCTGTCCCCATGCTGTCACACTGTGGTATTCTGCCTTCGTTTGCTGGTCTGTAAATGGGTGTGAGAACCACAGCTCCTGAGGTGGCTGAGGGCAGGTGTTGGGGCAGCGCCTGCCTTGTTGGTCTCCATCGACCTGCTCCCCGTCTGGTTTCTTTTTTTTTTTTCCTTTTTGTCTTTTTTTACTGACCAGTAATGGGATTGCAACCCTCGGTGTCGCGCCCTCACCACACTCAGCCAGTGAGCAGGAACCGGTCTCCACATGGGATCCGAACCCTCCGGGGGAGCACCGCCGCACTCCCAAGCGGCGCACTCTCCAGTGCGCCACTGGGCCGGCCCTCCCCGTCTGGTTTCTCATCACCAGAAACCCTTCCTCAAGCCCACATGCAGGTCATGCGAGGGGATGCTCTGAGCATTGCCGGGCCATGTGGGACACATGCGTTAGGGTCCACACCCCTTCAGCTGGCGTCCTGTGGAAAGTGGGGAGGAGGGTGTTGTGAGATTTCCCTCGAGATCATCTGTGATTTGAGAATCTTTTCATATGGTATTTTGGCCATTTCGTCACTGTTGCCTATTCAAATAATGTTGGTCTTCAGTGTGTTTTTTCCTCAGCATCTTGTAGTTTTTCAACATGTATTCTGCAGAAAGCCATGGGTGGTCGTGTGTGTTATGATGGTCATCTCAGCTGCACTTGTCTTTCTCGTTTCTTCTGTTAGGTATATGTTTTTAATTTTAAAATAGTCACATGTATAAATAATTTTATACAGTTCATGCTTTTTGTTTTTCATCTAAGGAATCCTTCTCTGCCATGAACTATCTTCCCACCTTCCTTCTGAACAAAACAAGGATACCCATTCTCACCACTCCTATTTAACATAGCATTAGAAGGACTAGCCAGAGCAGTCAGGCAAGAGAAAGAAGTAAAGGGCATCCAGATCGGAAAAAACAAAGTGAGATTGTTCCTGCGTACAGATGACATGATCCTATATATAGAAAAACCTAAAGACTATAAACTCTTAGATTTGATAAACAATTTCATTAAAGTTGCAGGATACAAAAATCGACATGCAAAAATCAGTAGCATTTTAATACTCCAACAATAAACTAGCAGAAAAAGAAATCAAGAAAGCTAGCCCATTTACAGTAGTCACCAAAAAAAATAACGAGAAATAAATTTAACCAAGGAGGTGAAAGATCGTTACAACAAGAACTATGAATCACTGCTGAAAGAAACTGAAGAGGACTCAAAAAGGTGGAGAGACATTTCTTCTGAAAGTCTTAAGTGCACACTTTTCACATTTAGATCTTTAATCCACTTGGAATTTATTTTTGAGTGTGGATGAGGTAGGGATCACTTTTATTTTTCCCATTGTGTGTGACCCGTTGCCCCATCAGCATTTACTGAGTAGCCCCCACCCTTGTCCTATTCTAAGTGATTCATTGAGTTCATCTCAAGGGCAGGGGTCTTCTGGGCCCCACCCTCCAACAGGACCACACAGGTTCACTTCTGAGCTTTGTGATGAGGTGACATCTGAGAGTGTGTGTCCTATGTGGTGACATCTGAGAGTGTGTGTCCTATGTGGTGACTCAGCTCTGTTCTTTATGAATTTTAGGAATTCCATGTTTTTTCAGAAACGTATATTTTTCTCCTTGGCAACAATTTATCAACATACCTTAGCTGTTTGGGATTTTGTTTGGGGGTTTCTTTTTTACTTACCTTTGCTTTTTTCATCTCACTTCTTTTTCAAGGTTTGTCTTTCTTCTGACATTTGTTTTTCTGTAGTTATTTCAGCAAAGGCGTATGAGTGGCAAATTATCTTAGAACTTGCCTAAAAATATATTTACTTAAACCACCTCACTCTTAAGTTTTAGTTCTGCTGTTTCCTCGTTGTCTTCTAGCATGTACTAATTTATTTTTAAGTAGTGTCTTGTTTTCGTAGTTTTCCTTTATTCCTGATGTTACAGTTTCACCACAAGATGTTGACGTGTGATTTCCCCCCTGCTGGGCTCTCAGCTGGCACTTGGTCTGCAGTGTGGTTAGTTGTCCTCCTTTGATGCCCCCACACCCCAGTCTCTGCCCTGGAACTGTAGTGCAGAGTCCAGCTTCTCATCTGCCCTCTGCCTCTGAATGCCTCTCACGGTGTCTGCCAGGCAGCCCTGGTAACTGTCCCCAGGTTGACATCCTGCTCACCTGGCCTGGCCTCCTCCTGCTGTGTGAGGTCAGCATTTCTCCATCTGTTGGGTTTTGTTTCAATTACCATACTGTTTTTTTCCAAGATTTCAATTTTTTTTTTCTTTTTACCAATATAGCCTGTTCTTGCTATGGATATTTTTCCTTCCTTTGTCTCTGAAGACCTTAAATGTGAGGATTTAAAGTCCTTTTTGGTCTGCTCAGTTATTCCACTTGTTCAGGAGCAAGCTCTCCTTTCTCGAGCTCGCAGGCTGCTTTCCACAGCATTCACTTTCCTCCCTTGTGATGCCCTGCAACGGCTCTCATGCCCTGGGACGTTAGGTCCCCTCGAGAGGGGCTCCTAGACCTCAGTTGAACTCTGTCCCCTCACCCCACCGGGCAGTCATGAAGTCTGGGCCTATCTCCTGAGCCTGGGCACTTTGGAGCCCACAGTCTTGGCCACAGCAGCCTATCAGTCGCCCTGGAGCCTAAACAGCTGTGGGTGCAGACACATATATCTCGGTTTTACACAGCAGACACACATTTCACTTCTCAACTAATGAATCTTCTCCATCCTTGCCTTGTGCTTGTGTGGGGCAGGGGATTTTCCACATGAATCTTGGCTTTCCTAATAAGTATTGACCCCTTTCCCCAATTTATCTAAAATTGGGATTTGTGTTCTAATCAGTTTAGAGAAAGATGATACAGAATTGAAAAGCACCATTTCACATTGGTTAATTACTGTATTAGTCCATTTTGTGTTGCTATAACAGAACACTTGAGACTGGGTAATTTATAAAGAACAGGTTTATATGGCTCACGATTCTGGGACAGCTGCATCTGGCGCAGGCCTCAGGCTGCTTCTGCTCATGGTGGAAAAGTGGCAGCAGCTGGTGGGTACAAGCAGATCACATGGTGAGAGGAAGCAAGAGAGAGAAGGTGCCAGGGTCCTTTAAACAACCTGCTCTCATGGGAACTAATAGAGCGAGAACTTACTACCCTCTCCCCCAGGGAGAGCATTAATCCATTCATGAGGGATTCGCCCCCATGACTCAATCAGTTTCCAACACTGCCACATTGGGAATCAGAGTTTCACATGAGTTTTGGGGGGACAACACATCCAAACTCCATCAGTTAATATTTGGTTTAAGCTGTGATTAATATAAAGAAATGATCATATTTGTGTAACGTCAGCTTTAATATTTCTTTTAATGTGTTTTGTAGGTGGAGAAAATCAAGATTCTTTTGCAAAATGTTGATCTGATGGATATAAAGGTTGGATCAGTAGAGGAGTTCCAAGGGCAAGAATATTTGGTTATCATCATTTCAACTGTAGGTATCTCCATTTTCAGTGGGATAGCCACTGTGCTGTGAAGTCACTTGGTGTTCATTGGGTTCTGGGTAAAAGGCAGAGGCTGGTCAGTGATGCAGACAGGCAAGTTGCAGGGTAAGTAAGATTCCTAGACCACAGCACCGTTGCAAGCAGTAACTACAGAATGTTCTTAAAAACAGAAAAACAATTCAAAGATCAGGGAAACAAAAAAGTAAGGAAAAAAGATCCAGGAAGAACTGGTAACTGTGCTGGAGGAGGAGGGACCAGGTGTCAGCAGGCAAGGCTGCTGCGGAGCAGAGGGGGAGGCTGACGTCAGCCCCACCGCCCTGGCGGCTGCAGCTCTGCCGTCTGTGGATGTCGAGGTCGACACTTCCAGCTCCTTTGTTTGTTTTTAAGTTATCTTTATTGAACAGTACATGTAATTGCATATAATTTAGAAAATTGAGATACAGAAAAGAAAGTAAGAATCACCTAAAACCCTACCATCGTTGGTGTTTGGGGGTCTCCCTGTCAATAGCCAGAATAACAGTGAGCTTTGATTCCCGCCCCCACTTGCTTCCCTTTTAACCAAAAATGAGGCCATACTGCTATTTAACATTTCTAAATGTTTTCCTATAACAGGACTTTCTTTTCATACCAGAAAACCTTAAAATATCATTTTATTCATCTTTGTGCTTTTTAGGTACGGTCAAGTGAAGATGGATTTGAAGATGATCGGTACTTTTTGGGTTTTTTGTCCAACTCAAAAAGATTTAATGTTGCAATCACCAGACCCAAAGCTTTGCTGATTGTACTGGGAAACCCTCACGTTCTTGTCCACGTGAGTCTGCACACACTGTGGCCTGTGACTCATTCGAGGGAGGGCTGGGGGAAAGGGTCCAAGTCATCCAGAGATGACCACTGAGCTGGGAGCCATGTGTGCACCACTTGGAGACTTGGGCCTCACTCATATTAATGCCAGCTCCTTCTGTTCACAACAGGATCCCTGTTTTGGAGCTTTGTTGGAATACAGTATCACCAATGGTGTTTACACAGGATGCAACTTACCTCCCGAGCTGCAGTCTCTGCAAACGTGAGCGCTTCTTTTCTCTTCCTGAAGGGTGGGCTGGTTTGGGATTTGCCCGCCCTGCCCCTGCTCTTTGCCATCCCCCATCCCCCACTCAGGGCCCCACACACACCCAAACCCCACAGCAGCTGCAGGCCCACTGCCCTCACTCCTCTCCACTTGCCCTCCTGGGCTGCAGTGGCCACTCCTTCCTGGACACTTAGGGTCGGTGTCACCCGTCCCTCACTAAGCCTGAAGAGGTAAACAAAGTGCCCCTTTACTGTATAAAAACCACATTACAGGGCTGGCCGGCTAGCTCAGCTGATTAGTGTTGCGCTGATAACACCAAGGTCCAGGGTTCCATCCCGGTACCAACCAGCCACCAAAAGAAAAAAGAAAAACCATGTTGGGAAGAGTGAGGCTCTTAGCCACTGTGGGAGCCTGACTCCCTTGTCCCTCACTAAGCCTGAAGAGGTAAACAAAGTGCCCCTTTACTGTATAAAAACCACATTACAGGGCTGGCCGGCTAGCTCAGCTGATTAGTGTTACGCTGATAACACCAAGGTCCAGGGTTCCATCCCGGTACCAACCAGCCACCAAAAGCAAAAAGAAAAACCATGTTGGGAAGAGTGAGGCTCTTAGCCACTGTGGGAGCCTGACTCCCTTCTCCACCTGCAGCTCTGGCTCGATGGTGGTGGCTCCCCCCTCCCTGTGCACTGCCCAGCAGTGCCAGGATCCTCAGGACCTTAGAAGTGTCAGGAGCCCAGTTGATGCCTGATGGCTGATGGACCGGAGACCGTGTGTCTCACCCTGTGGACCCTGGGCTCAGCCCAGCCTGTGCTGCTGCTTCTATCTGTTCTGTGACTCCTGTGGATGTGGACGTGGACATATGGGTGGGTAGACTGTCAGGTCAGTCTGAGTTGTTGCTGCTGCTACCTTTGATACACGCCAGCCTGTTCCTGCCATGGGGCAGTCACCACCACCCCACCCCAGAAATAAACACTGGAGTAATCCTCAGCGCCCTTCTATCTCAAAATGTGTCCATATTGGTGACAAGCAGGATTTCACATGGTTTCTGTCGCCTTACTGGCCACAGTCTTCAGAGGTGGCCCCACCGTCCTCTACTCTGTCCTGAGCCAGCCACATGCTGGGCATAAGGCAAACTGAGTATAAGGCAAGGCTGCCAGCTCTGCTCAGGAGAGAGCTGCGGGCTGACCATGGCAGAGCCCAAGATAGTGAGGTTCTGCCTGGGGACCGGGTGGGTGGTGGGAGCCAGTGTCCTGCCTGCCCTGGGCTGCAGTGCTGGTGGGTAGGTGTAGTTGGGCTGCCTGCCCCTGTGCCATGGAGGTACTGAGTAGTAAGCACCTGGATGGGTTCCTTGGGGAATAGCACAAGGCCTGGGGACCCCACCCCAGAGGTACTGAGTGAACTGTCCTTAGACACACATCTCTGGGCCAGCAGTAAAATGCACATGGACATAACAGGGCAGCAACTGAAGACATGCAGGGCTGAGTCCTGTGTTGTGCTGGCCCCAGACACATGGAGGACACAGGCGTAGCCCTCTGCAGGCAGGTGGGGGTCTCGTGGGCATCATGGAGCAGCAGGGAACAAAGGACACACCCATGGAGATAATTTCTGCTCTCTTGTGGGTGCCATGGTCCCAAACTTGTACAAACACCAGTTTGGGGATAAAATTACCAAGAATTTCCAGACAGTGACAGTAGAGCATTAAGGCCAACTCAGGCTCTGCACACTGGGCCCTGGTCACAGCCCAGGTTGCCTCTCCCTTTGTGATGCCGGCTCTTATGTGGAGCAGGCCTTGGTCTCTGGGTCGGGGGACAGCGGCCCAGGGTAGGCCCAGGAAGTGCTCATGTGCTGCTTTAAGCCAGGCGACCTCCCAGGACAGGAGCACCAACCTAACTCAGCCCTCACAAGGGTCAGTCCTCAGCAGAGCTTGCCCTGTGTGGCTGAGGAGGGGCAGACACGGAAGCTGGTGGTTAGCAGGAAGATGAAACTTCACGGTGGGAGGGACAAAAACCAAGGGCTGGGGCAGTGTTGGGGTCCAACTGCCTTGGCACCACCTAAAGACCTGGGGACCCAGCCCACTATGCCACATGAGTGGCTGTTGGGGTCAGTTGGCAGAGCATGGACAGGATCTGTGAGTGTGGTCATGCTGCTGACCAGGGAAAATGGGGTGTGTTGTCAGGAATGACCTGTGGGGTGTTCAGAGGTCAGTCCCATCCCAGTAGATGCTCAGCACAAGTCTGAGCTGCCCTTGCACTCGGGGCCCCAGGAAGGACACTGCTGCGTGAGGCGCACCACGCCGACCTGCCAGTTTCCACTGTGTGGCCGGACCTGAGTCCAAAGGGAGCGTGGGTGAGCGGGTCATGGGGCTAGGGTGCACCCTTCTACAGAGCTGCCCAGAGGTGGAGGAAGAGCCTCTACTCCATCAGCAATGCTCGTGCGGCCAGGGACTCAGACCCCAGTTGGTCAGGCACTTCAGTGAAGAATGTCCAGCCGCAGAACCAGGCGCAGTGGACTCAGGAAGGACACACTCAGGCTCATGACTGAGTCAACATCAGTTAGGCAGCACTGCAGCAGGCCAGGTGCCTGGAGCAAGTGGGATGGACCCACCTCACTCTGGTGTGGGGGCCATGCGGTCTCAGGCTGTCCCACCAGCCCATCTCTGTGACCTGTTTGCTCCTTGACGGGGCTGGAGGGGAAGCCACAGTGTCTGCTGCGTTCCTGGAGAGGCAGCAGCCAGCAGATGAGCATGATGAGGGGAGGACAGACGGCCGAGGATGGGGCGGAGGTAGACCCACTGCTGCAAGGACCCACATCCCCACTCCTGCCCCGGGCCCTGCTGGCGGGGCAGACCTGGCCAGCCTCTGCCCTCCTGCTCCCTCACCTGGGGAGCAGCCCTGGCCCTGGCCCTTCCTCAGAATGAGCAAGAGAACCAGTGGCCTCAGGAGGAAGTGTGCGTCAGCCGGGTGACCAGGAATAATATCTGGGAGGCCTGATGTGTGCTGGCTTCCCAGAAAAGACACCCGCTTTCTCTTGCTCCCAGCTGGAGAAGCCCAAGGGGCTGTGGTTTGGTCCCTGTGAGGGCACCAGGGCAGGACAGTTGGGGACTGAAGGGACCCAGGTCAGTCCCTTCTCCCCCAGGAGGGTCCTTTCCTGCCATTCTGTCATCAGCATGTCTCAGGACCCAGAGTCTGGGGCAGGGACTGCATAGGGAGTAACTCTGGGAGGCATTTTTCTGGGAACCACATTTTCTCCATCTGACGGCCTCGGGAGCCTGGCCCCTCAGCAGCACAGGCTGCTGTGGTGAGGTCAGGTCACCCCACTGTTCTCTCCCAAACATACTTGCTGGACATCCCAACAGCACAAGACATGAGGTCCTTCCATGGCTGGGTCCTCTCCGGCCACCACACCTTTCGGCAGACGATTCTCCCTGCCTCCTGTCCCTCCGCCTCCCTTCCCTGTGCCGAGTTCGCCCCGACCCAGCACCCTCTGGCCCCAGCCTCCAACCTCCAAGGAGGTTGACCCACTGCCCAGCTCTGCAGTGTCCACTGACTGTGGTCAGGGCCTTGCCTCATGGGTCGTCCTTCCTGCAGCACATTCTCTGCAGCCTCAGCGCCGCCTTCTCCTGGCCGTCCCTCAGGTGCCACGCCCTACCCCCTGACCTACACTCCAGCCCTGGATACATGACCCAGCATGCAGCAGGCACCCCAAACCCATCCTGCCTTCAGAGCCAGCTGGGTGGGCCTGGCCCTTGGTGCCCCCGCCTCCCACGGCAGCTGTGTCCCGACAGCCCTTGCCGCACCCCCCACGAAACCCGAGCCCCGTCACCACCACGTGGATGACCCTCTTGCTCCACTCTTGTCTCCTATAGCAGGCACCACTGTGTACTCCTCAATATTGTCTGCTTCTTGCTGTCATTGCAGAACCCCTGAATTTTAGCCAGACTCTTGAATACCAGAACAAAGACAAGTTTCTGACCTCCCAAGGAGTTAGGATCCCATAGTGTTGGCAAAAGGACTATGCGTCTTTCCTGGGAAATATCCTTCAGGGGGAGGCTGTGTCCTGCTTCCTCCCTGCGTCCCCCTGCTGCTGGCAGGCGTGATGGCAGGTGCTACAGCAGCCATTTGGGGCCATGAGGTGACCTTCCCATGGAGAAAACCAGTGTGGACCTTGAGGGTATAGAAGGTGGTGGCCCAAGGTGGGATGCTCTGCCTGCACTGCCCACCCCAGGCCACCACTGGCACATGGACAGCAGAGCTGCTTACCTCAGCCTGCCCTGAGTCAGAGCAGTTCTGAGTCAAAGCAGTTCTGAGTCCTATCCCTTGCAGACAACCAAACGCTCATGCAGTCACACCTACCAGAGCAGAACTTCTCACCCTGGACAGGCCTGCAGACCACCTGGCCAGAGCCGGAGAGTCTAAGCAGTTCTGAGTCAAAGCAGTTCTGAGTCCTATCCCTTGCAGACAACCAAACGCTCATGCAGTCACACCTGCCAGAGCAGAACTTCTCACCCTGGACAGGCCTGCAGACCACCTGGCCAGAGCCGGAGAGTC